CTAAGGGACAGCCTTTCATAACTTTGTAAGCAGGTTACTGGTCTTGAGATGGAGAGGACAGGAGGAAGCCCCTGTGAAGATGTAACAGATATCACTGTCTTACCTACATTACTTTCTCTTGGATAGACAATGTTCATTTGATCCACAGCCTCAGTTAATTTCACAGTTCAGAAATGGATGATTATAGTTACTTTGCTTGTGGGATAGTATGTGTCTACCAGGTCCTTGTTCTCTGTTTACAGATGACCATTGTCCTAGGATGTATTTTTTTTTAATTTTTTTTAGTTGTTGATGAGCCTTTATTTTATTCATTTATATATATGCAGTGCTGAGAATTGAGCCCAGTGTCTCACACATGCTAGGCAAGTGCTCTACCACTGAGCCACAACCCAGCCCCCTTAGGATGTATTTTAATGTTTTTGGTTCATCTGTTTTTGTAACTTTGGGGGTGGGGACATGATGTTCCCTTTTAATAACTAGGTAAAATCCTCTTTTATTTCTCCAAATGTTCTTTAATTTTAAAATCAGAGTATTTCTTGAGTTCTGTTATTTCTATACTGTGTTTCAGGGACAATTATTGTATAGAAGCTTTAAAAAACAATAACCTAAAAAAGTCAATAATAAAATCCCCAAGAACAGACACATAGAATTCACAAGATGTGAGCAAACTAACTGGGTTAAAAGCCAAGCTGTCCTTTGGCAGAGACAAGTTTGTGCAGTATTGAATTCACCCTGTTTGAAGTCCTTCTTTTCTTTGCAATGCAGATCATGGGCTTTCTGTTACTGAATTCCAGTGTTCTGGCACCCTCTAGTGCTACTAATGAGTAAAAGCCACTTCCCTTTAGCTTTTTCTCTTTTTTCTATTTTTTTAATTCATTTTTTAAAAAAATAAATGACAGCAGAATTCATTACAATTCTTATTACACATATACAGCACACTTTTCATCTCTGGTTGTATATAAAGTATGTTCACAGCAATTCGTGTTTTTATACATGTACTTTGGATAATGATGTTCATCATATTCCACCATCATTTCTAACCCCATGCCACCTCCCTTCCCCTCCCACCCCTTTGCCCTATCTAGAGTTTGTATATTCCTCCCATGCTCCCCCTCCCTACCCCACTATGAGTCAGCCTCTTTATATCAGAGAAAAAGTTCAGCATTTGTTTTGTTGGGATTGGCTAACTTTACTAACTATTCCCTCCACTCCTCCTCCCCACACTCTTCCTTTCTCCTGTAATAATTTTCTAAGTCAATATTTTCTAAATTAAACTTGTCACACTTCTATCCTCTTCAAGCTCTATGACTATCAGAAACACATCACCTTCTGTTCCTGAACCTTTGCTTGTGGGACAGTATATGTCCCATAAGCAAAGGTTTCAGGGTTTTAACAAAGGTTTCAGGGTTTCTGACTTTCAAGCTGATGGAAAGAAAATTGAAAAATTAAAAAATAATCCATTCAAAAGAAGCCAAAAGAGAGCAAAGAAAAAGAAGGATGAGTATATATATGACAAGATGATTTAATTAAATCCAGAATTCTTACAAGAGCTATGCTAAATGCAGTAGGGTAAATATTCTAATTAAAAGCCAAAATCAATCAGACTAAATAAAAACTCATGCTTCTTATATGAAAAAAAACTAGAACAAAAGGACACAGAAAATTGAAAAGAAAATGATGCAGAAAGATAAGCCATACAAATACTAACCTAAAACCAGTGGTTGACTACGAAATATCACACAAAATAGAATTTAAGTACAAATATTACTGGAGAGAAGCTGCATGATCACAGAAGCCTTGGTTCTTAAGATTTTTTAAAATAACCTTGTAACCTTATTACACATATACAGCACATATACATATGTCATTACACATAAACCTGTCCTTTGGCAGGGACAAGTTTTGTGGATCAAATGAACATTGTCTATCTAATAACCTGGTGTGCATATGTGTATATATGTATATTTTTATAGATACCTATTATGGGTATGATGATTTTCTCACATTTAAAAATTAAAATAAAAAAGTTGTAGATGGACAGAATGCCTTTATTTTATTTTTTATTTTTATGTGGTGCTGAGGATACAAGCCAGTGCCTCACACATGCTAGGCAAATGCTCTACTACTGACCTACAGCCCCAGCCCTGATTTTCTAATATATATTTTTTGATTTATCATTTGTTCTAGAGAAAATACTATGAAAGCTGAATGATTTCACTTATTTGAAATTCATTGAGGTTTGATTTATGTTGAAGAATATAGTCTAATGTGAAAATATTTTGCAGACATTTTTGTGTATGTATATGAATTGAACAAAACTTAAAAAGAGACAGACAAGTAAAACATAGAAGTTTTCTTTTTAAATATTTGTTTTTTAGTTGTAGGTGAAAAATAACCTTTATTTTATTTTTATGTGGTGCTGAGGATCAAACCCAGTGCCTCACTTTTGTAGTTGCTAGGCAAGTGCTCTACTGCTGAGCCACAACCCCAGCCCTAGAAGATTTTGTCTGATAGAAAAGCAGGTCTAGAAATGTAGCTCAGTGGTAGAACACTTCTCTAGCAGGCATAAGGTCCTGGGTTCCATCTGCAACAGTACACACATGCACACACGCACATGGACACATCCATGTAGAACACAAATTGTTATAAATAAATAATGGAATAAATTTTAGCAGATTTAACCATACATACACTTAGAGAATAATGCAACCTTTCAGGGCATATAAACCATTCTTTTTAAGCACATTTTCAAAACTGATCATATTCTTCATCATAGATTTTCATCAATCACTCAGAGTTTGTTCTTTTGAATTCAATGAGGAATCATACATTTTTATAAAATGCTCCTGTGTACTTGTACCTATTTAGAAGCAATATACTTTCAAATAACATAAGGATATAAAGAATCCCAATATAATATAGATATTATTTTGAACTGAACCATAAGAAAGGCTATCAAAATTTTCAGGCTGCACCTAATGCCACTGTTAAGGGAAAACATACAGGTTTGCCTGTGTATACAGGGTGGACAGAGAGAACAAACCCAGATGAGAAGCACCTGTCTCAAGAAGTAAGAAAAAGAGGAACAATAGAGCTCAGACATGGTGGCAGGTATGGAAACACAAAGAACACAAATTAACAAATAGAAAACAACCCTTGATGGAGAAGGTATACAAAGTCCAAAGGTTTTTGCGAGGGAAAAAGTAAGCAGGGGATGGATCCCTGATGACTGATCCTGGGCAGTGAGAAGGGCAAGGGGCTGAAGGAGGATGAAAAGGCTCACATCATCACCTGGCTCACAGACATTTTAAAATTCCATAAGAAGACAGTATGGAAAACCTTATATCCATACAGCAGGACTCTCTGATGAAGTAGACAAATTCCTAGAAAAATATACTTATGAAAACTTTTATAGCAACACAGCAGGCAATTTCTGTAAAGTGGACAAAATTCCTAGAAAAATGCATTTTCCGAAAGACAAAATATTTTTTAAAATAGGCTAAAATCATTAAAGATACTGCATTCAAACTCTACCTGCTTGCTTCTCAGGAGTAGTTATTCTCTAGGCCTCCTCTTTGTGAGTTTTGGTTCAGGGAATTTTTTGAAATTTCTTTTTCCTGTTTCCACAGCTTGCTCCTTGGTCCCAGACTTCTTCTTCTCAAAAGTATTGTCTCCTTTTCATGCAGCTCTGAGGGAAGGTGACAGGCATGTAGCCGGCCTGTGGTGCCCTCTGTGGTGCAGATGAAGGTCAACCTCAGTGCCTGACTGGTTTGGGGATATTAAGCCAACCTGGAATTCTTGGGTAAATTCTACCTGTTCATGTTATATACTCCTTGTCAGTGTGGCTTCATTCAGATGACCAGCATTTTATTAATGGTTTTTGCTTTTCTTAAGGAGGGACAATAAGTGGTCTGTGGTTTTCTTGTCATGTTTGCTCTTGATTTTCTATAAGAGAATATTTGCCTTGTAGAATGAGTTGGCAAGTGTTCATTCTTCCCTATTTTCTGAAAATGTTTGCAGATGAGAATCACAGCTCTGTTAAGAGTCACAATTACCTTTCATTTAACAACTGCTCCTCTGTAATAACGACCTGTTATTCTACTTTCAATCAAAGGAACTGTCCTTTAAATCTTAGGAAGACCAATCATTATAATTTTTAAGCATTTCTTTTGCTTTTCTTATTCATCATTCATGGGGGTCATTTTCTCAGGGTTTTTAGCTTTCAAACTTTTTTTGTTATTCCTGGGATTGAATCCAGACACACTTAAGCATGTGCCACATCCCCTGCCCTATTATTATTATTAGAGCCAGGGTCTCACTGACTTGTTTAGGGCCTCATTAAGTTTCTGAGGCTGGCTTTCAACTTAGAATCCTCCTGCCTCAGCCTCCAGAGTCAAGGAAATTATAGGCAGCTCAACCACAAGGGCTCAGACTTAATTATATTAAAAATTTTTGATTTTTTGTTCAGAATTATGAATGAGGACCTCTAGACTTATCATCTTTAGTTAGAATTACCTCTGTGATAAATTTTCTAAATCACTCATTTCTATAGCAGGTATGATTTCACTCATGGGCTTATACTGAGAGGCCTTGTGGAATAAAGTTAGCAAGCAGGGCTCCCTGGGGTCCAGGGCTAAATGCAGACTGAGGATGAGGTGTTGCTCTTGAGCAACATGGATCTTTAAGCAACAAAATTACCTCTTGGTTTAAGGTCTGTGCAGGCAGAGCATGGAGAGGAGCCTTGGAGTATCCTCTAAACAGCCACAGAAGAGTACAAGGAGAAAATCTTTCCTCCCTTGGATGTGGCACCCTGTTAGTTAGCAGTAGCTGTGGGCACTAGTGCTACAGTCCACAGGCACAGGCAGAAGATGAATTGGAACTTCAGTCCTGGGGAGGAAAGTGCAGAAGTGGCAGTATGCAACCTGTGTGGAAGCATGTGAGGCCCGAGGGCATGTGGGAACTTGCAAAAGTGCTGGGAACCCTCTGGGTACACCTTTGGTATGGTGTCCCAGGGGCAACAGCTGCTCTCACATGTGGGGCCCACTCAACAGGGGCTGGTACCAGGACCACCAGTAGAGGAAGTTTCTCCAAAAGCTGCAAACTCTGCCTGGGACAGTTCCTGCTGCTGCTGCTACTGCTGCATCAGCACCTGGTGAGTCCCTCAGCACTTAGGGTAGGTGGAAGAGTAGGAAGGCACTACAGACCCAGGTCTGTCTCAAGGAAGAAAGCTGGTGTGTGGGGGAGGTGTCATGATTCTTAAAAGATGAGAACAGAAGAACTTCTGGAATTTGGGACAGAGAATTGTAAGGGCACTGGGATTCACTAGGAAGGAAAGACATAAAGATGACTTGGGTGTCGGAACTCATTAAATTGATGCTGGGTGAAAGAATGAGTCAGACTCTGCTTGTCACCAGGAGTATTGACCCTATTTTGTAGGTGCATAACCTGAGGTCTCATAGCTTGTTATCTTGGGACTGTATTTGGTATAAAATGTTGTACAAGATAACCAAAAGGCAAAAGAAAATGTCAGAGCTAGCCTATTTCAGTGGTTGGCCCTCCATTCTTCCCATTTTGCTTTGAGAAGGTAGGTTCAGTGATCACTTACTCACCTTTCAATTTCCAAACCACTGGGGGATAGTGATCTGTAGAAAGATGTAAAGGATCAATGTAAAGTAGTTTATGCTAAAGAAGTATTGCAGCCCCTTGTTGGGGTTTGATGCTTTCATGAGGTTGTGCTAGGTGAATTCTTGCTGAATATTTATGTTGATGAACTTCTTACCTAAGTTAAATATATCTAACTAACTTAATATTGAACCTTTAAAAAATCAAAACAGCAATATCAAAATTTTCATATCCTGGTGCCAGTGTGATTTTAGTTATTAGAGAGGAGTTGTAGGTGGGCATGTTTGTTGTGAGGCTTCTTTTTCATGCATCATCTGTCTTATTGAAACAATGCTTGTCAGCCTATCCTTACTCTGGCCTTCTGGTTTCTGAAAGTGCTCTCAGAAAAAGAAGGGCCCTGGGCTGAGGTTGTGGCTCAGTGGTAAAGCACTTACCTGGCGTTTATGAAACACTGGGTTTGGTCATATAAAAAACAAATTAATAAAATCAAGGTATTGTCTTCATCTACAAGTAAAAAATAAAAAATAAAAGAAGGGTCCCTACCCCACCAAAACTTCTCTTCTCTGGTCTTGAGCCCTAACTATATTCTTCGGCACTTCAGTGTTGCTTGTGATTGTTAACACCTTTTTCAGTTTGTTCTTTTGATACAAATTTGGTTAAAAACAATACCTGACTGTGTACTGATAGCAGGGACATATTCTTAGTTCTGTTATTTAATATGTCCTGAACATTTGTGGGTTTTGCACAATTTTAAAGATCTTTAATCAAGATAGTCCCACTGTTGGAAGGATTCACCTTTTAATTAAATAGGAACCTTGAATACCTATGTAAAAATTTTATTAATTACTAATTATTCAAACACTTCTTAGCCCTATAATTTATTCAGATTTTGTTGGTAATATGGAAAATAAGTTATTTGTTTACAAATGACTTATATGTTTATGATTAATCCTAAAAATACAAAACTAAAGCATTAGGCCAAGTTGGGCAATTTTCAGGTTTTAATCTGAAAATCTAACACGCTAATTTTCTGAAAAATGAACTGTATACAGAGATATTTAGACTTCCATTTTTTGCACATGATCCTGTGTGTATTCTTTGAAGTTGACCACTGAGAGAGGTGCAGGTGGAGCTTGGAACAGGAGCACTGGGGGCCTGATGCTGACCTCCTATGTGCTCCATGAGCCTTGGCTCATGTCCAAAGACATTTTTCCCAGTCTTCAGCTCATCAGTTGTATGGCCTTGTGTAAGTTATCCCACTTCTTCAGGTCTTGTTCTACCATCTATAATACAGGGATACTGGGTTTCATTTGGTAATGTAGCATCTGAGGTCCCAAGAGAGCTGGTTATTTGGTAATGTAGCATCTGAGGTCCCAAGAGAGCCCAAGGTTCTATAGAGAGGAAGTGACAGGACTTGGAATGTTAGCCAAGGTCCTGTTGTGTCCAGGTCTTTGGCTTTACACAACACCATGCTGTCTGACATGGTGTACACCAGACCACTATGAGCTCCAAGAAACAGGAGACTCACCTACATTTGGGTTATGACAATTGTGGGGCATCATGGTCAGCCTTAGTAGAGAGGAAGAACAAATAGTGAAGAATGGAGGGGCATACACATCCTTCATGACCCAATGAGGCAGCAGCATATACAATGCCCAGGCCTGGTAAGATGGGCCACCCCTTCTTCCCTGTAGAGAGCCTGTGTTTTCTCATAGCTGAAGCATTGTTGCCTGTCTTGTGCCTTCATTTGAATCAAATGTGCTATTTTTCCAGTTGTGATTTTTGAATTTTGCCCTAGGAAATTTTCTTGGTAAGAACCCCTTTATTTCTAATTGCTATAATTCTAATTAAATAGGATACTCTGTCGAGTCCTAGCATAGCCCTGTACATAGAGCAAGCCCTGGGCAGCTAATGGTTATTTTCACACCTAGTTGATGGCTTTTTCATGATAGACTGCAGCCACTCCCTCATTCTGCAGCAGCAGCAACTCTGCTTAGGTCCAGCATTTCTTTGGCTATTCTTTCTTCCACCCCACTTCTCATAGTGATCATAGATGTCAGATTTCCATTTCTGTCAAAAACAACTGAGAAAAATCAGCTTAAAAGAGTGAAGACTTATATGTCTCATGGTTTCAGAGTTTCAGTTCCTGGTCTGTTGGCCCTGTTGCTTTGGGCCTGAGCCAAGGCAGTACATCATGGTGAGAGCCCATGGCCAAATGTGGAGGCCATATGAGGCTGCTCATATCATGGCAGCCAGGAAGCAAAAGAGAGAGGAAGGACTGGACTCCCAATATTCCTTTTGAGGGCATGACCCTGGTGATCTAACTTCCTTCTACCAGGCTCCAGCTCCTATAGGTTCCACTATCTCCCAGTAGCACCACAGGCTGGTGACCAAGTCTAAAGCACATGGGTCTTTGGAGGACTTTTAAACTTTAGCAGATGATTTTGTGTGAATTATGGAAAGGAGGGCTCCACCAAAAGTTATCCTTTGCTAGCACATTTGACTGCAGCATCTGGAGGCCTTTGTGTAGGATACTACCTGCACACCCTTATGTAGCAAGTCTGGCCTGTTCCACTCAATGTTATTTTGACCAACTGCTTGATGCGTTGCTGTTTCCAAAAGGATTGCCTCTCATCTTGGTCATTCCTGGCATTTATATTCAGTTTCTCTGTCAGAAAGCCTCTTGATGTAATTGAATCTTGTGTTCCACATTTTCTTTACTCCTTGGACTCCCAGAACGTCATTATCTGGGCCTTCCACCTCTAGGCCTTCATTTACTCTTGCATTGAGATTCCTGACCCTTGGCACTTTCCCTGTAATTCGCTGGAACATGGCAACTCCCTCCTCCTGCCCTACCCTGCATGAGGTAGAGTGGGGTTTGAGGTGAAGAGCTCAAAGCCAGGCAATGCCGAAAAGACATTGTTCCCTAGTCCCTGGGCCTCTACAAGAAGTGCAGACCACCAGCTGGATTTGGGGTGAATGCCATCTCTGATAGTTGTCCTAAAATGCCCTGCTTTAAATGACTGCTTGAATGTGGGTACAAAGGGCCAGCTCTGTGCCAGGATCCACTTTCCCGAAGTACACACTCTGATGAGGAACTTCACCCATAGTCCCCAGGGCACTCATCTTCACTCTTCTCATGCTGATGCCACCTCCCATGAGTGATGAACCCAGTCTTCCACAAAATCCCTCCCATGTACTCTCACCCTCCCAATAGACCAGGCACATCTGCAGTAGGGTCTCTGCACTCAGCTTGTGTTTCTGTATCTTCCACAGAGGGCCCAGCCCCTGCTGCATTGGGAGGTTGGGTGAAACACCCTCCATAATGGGTCAGTTTCCTTTCTGTTGTAGTTGCACAAGTTCCCCACTAGGTTCCTGGCAGCTAGAACTGTGTCCGCACCCCCATTCCCTACTGGGGCTTCCTGAGATCCCCCTTAGATACTGGTTATGGATTGGGTAGTGCTTTCCTGGGATAAACCATGTTTCCTGTACTCTTCAATACTCTTGTGCCCCATCATTTTGTCTTAACTGGAGACACAGCTCACTCAGTTTGATCTCTTTTGCATGGTACTAGGTACTTACAGGTGATTATTATTTTCTGACTTTAATCTCTCAAATGATGAACTCTAATTATCACCCAGGCTCATTCCCATTTTATTTGTCCTAAATCCCTTCTTGCTTCCTATGAAAGCAAAACATGGAGTGGCTCTTCATGGTGCTAGATTTCATTTTTCCTAATGGATCTTACCCCTTCGTCCTGTAAATTGTATTATATTACTATTATTACTGAGACAGGTAACAACAATTGATAATGCCTGTTGAGTACACATGAGGCAGGTGCCTTTGAAAGAGTTTTGTGTGAACTATATCATCACATCCTCATCATGCCCTGGGGAGGCCCTGTCCATATTCCATTTTCAAGCTGATAAAACTGACACAGAAAGGTTGATTAACATGTTTGTAGATGCACAGGCAGGCATGCCCTCACCAAGCAGCTGCAGTTCTTACCCACCAAGTCTTCCCACCTCTCCCAGGTCATTTCACAGCATATGCTTGTATTGGCATACATGCGCAGGAAGACACACAATACTGACAAGGGGCAGAAAGTGGATTTTCCTGCCATGCTTGGTCCCAGTGTGCCCCTGGAGGGGCAGCCTCTGCCAGCCTCCTGTGTTCTCCTCCAATGCCATTGTACACAGGTGAGTGGATGTTTGCATGTGATGGCCCCAGGTTTGATCATATAGTACCTTTGTCCCCCAGTGTCCCATTTGATGTGTTCTGTAAGGTTTTCCCTACCCTGAGTGCAAAATATGGGCAAGCGTTATGGTGATATACACCCACATTCTATTCCTGCTCTCAGAGACACAAAGAATTGACCTGGATTTCAGAATGTCTAGCTCTACACAGCAATCAAAGTAATCAAAGATACAAGTGCTCAGTGAATTCCCTAGGCAGGAAGGGGTAGGAGGATGGCACCTTCCTCCTCCCTCACACAGGGACTCACATTTCCCATGTCCTTGTGGTGGAGAGCAGGGCTTTCTTGGCTGATGGACATAGTGATAAACTGTCCTGGGGCTTCAGAATATGGCACATATTCAGCTATTCCTGGGTGTGCAATCTTATTCCAGGGTGTGCAATCAGGGCAAGCCACATGGCACACCTGACCTCAAGAGAGAGGACTGCAGTCCCAACTGTGCCCCAAGGAAGTGCTGGATCATCTGTGGGACAGAACTAATGTTCATGGCAGCAGTCAACCAAATGCCAGATGCCCTGGGTTTACTGGGAACTGAAGAAGAAGTTAGACTGACCTCAACCATGATAAGGTTAGCAGACAAGGATGGGCAGACCCTGAGTAGCACCTGACATGCACCACGTGGAGGAGGCTTGGGGGCTCTATAGTGAACTTAGGGACTGACACACTGTTGTGTCTAATGGAGAGCTTGTACAAATTTCCTTGACAATATCCTGTGTGACTGGAATTTTTGTTTTTCTCCATCCAAAATGTAGTCATAGATCATTCATGGCTTTGGGTTGCTTGGTTAGCCCTTTTTCTAGAAAAAGTTCTCCATACCTTTCTGTTCTCTCTTATGGCATTGACAATTGTTTTGCAAAAAGTATGAACATGTACTCTTTTGACTGATCCCTTTGAAACTGGAGGCATAATTATGCATATTTTTTTGGTCATTGTTCCCACTAGGGAAGTGCTATGTCCCTGTGTACCACCTCAGAGGGACTTGATGTCATCCTTTCCCTTCCCTCTGCCCAGCCCATTCCTGGTGCTGTTCAGTGTGGCCACTGTGATGCTGGTGTCACCCAGATGTCATCTGTATTGCAAAGCTACTTGTCTTCCCTCTTTATTTAGTAAGCCATCTGTGAAGCAAAACCTGAGTCTGCATATATTGCATTCCCAATACTCTTTCACTCATTATATTACATGCATTACATTCATAATTTTTTGCATTGCAATTCTTAATACATCTTTATACCACAATTTATCAAATCTCTGTTTGTATATAAGGTATGTTGACACCAAATTCACATCTTTATACATGAATTTTGTATAATGATTTTATTCCTTTTGTGTTCAAAGTATTCATAATTTGCAAGTGGGGCCATTGAAGCAGTTCCCAAGTCCTTTGGATGTATCCCATGGGTTGATGAATATGCTCTTACTTTCTTCCTCAGCAGGATGCTGCGGGCTTAGCTTGTGCTTTCCTTGCTCAAGCCCTGGAAAAATCAACCATTTCTCTAAGGAGCCTTATTTTGCATGGTGGATGGCATTTGGAAACAAAATGATAGGGGAACAGTCATGTGGTCATGGCTACTGGGTTGTATTTGCCTCTAGACCTTTCAGTGGATAGAGCTGGTAGAATGACTGATCTACTGATTGCATGATCAATCAATTGACTGAGATTTTATTCTGAGACTTTGAATCCAATCCAGTACCACTCCACATTGCATCTGTTTCTCCCACAGTGAGAACTCTGGTTGATTAGAATATCATCTCCTGAACCCAGGTACACATGGGACTCATACTCCCTAACACTGCATAGACAAGTCTTTAAGTTCAGTTCAAGGTTGCTTATTTTTTTTAAATAAATCTCACCAGTAATATCCTGCTAGAGTGATTGGTTATAAAGTTACTTAATTAATTCTTATTTTCCCCCCTTCATCTTTGTAGTTATACTATCAGTGTGATGCATAGTTTTAGGTTCCCCGATGAATATGTAACTTTATATTTTGTTTATTTTAATTTTATATTTACTTGGGATAGTGCAGCCATCTATGGTCAGCCCAGCTTCAGTGACTTACCATACCATGTGGCTGGGATGCAGACCTTTAAAGAGTAAAAACAAGTCATCACTTTGTGTTCTGATTTGCCTGCATATTGGACACTCCGTTGTCTCCAAATGTCCTTTACTTTATGTTTGTATAGCAACTATGTACTTCTTTGTTGTATTTATAAAATAATTGTAATTTTTCCCCCTTCAATGGGAAACTTGGACTAAAATGGCTATCGAATACTGGATCAAACAAAAGTGGTTTTCACTTCAAAGTGCTATTGACTGACCTTAAATATAGAAATAAAACAGAGGTTTTGAACATTGAAGGAAATTGAGAGTCTTCCAGTCTTACCTATTTTTCTCTGACATAAATATTTATATTGAATTATTACAATGTTTCTGTTTTTCCCAAAATCTTCATCATCTCAAAAGAAATGCCAGACAACTAATATTTATGTTTCATTGATGTTCCTTGTCTTGCTTTCAAGATGACTTAATAATCAGGGAAGAAGAAGGTTGATTGCTTATAGCAAATATCCCTGAGCAACCCCTGAAAGATCTCACTTGAGAACAGTCAGCTGACTTTTTAAATAATTATTATTTCTTATTATATTATCAAAACCTCTGACAATATATGCAAGCAAAAAATCATTTGCTTTTATTGTTGTTTTATCCTGTCATAAAACTCATTCCCACCACCAGCACAATTCTCAAGGCCCTTCCTCTCAGTGTGAGCAGCAACCAGGCCTCTCTCTCCTCATAATGCTAAACTGCCCTCAAGGAGCTGGTCCCAGTGACTTGTTGCTGCTGTGTCCTCTCTGTCAGTGCTGTCAGCTCCTAAGGAGGAAAGCACAAGTTGTCCTTGCCTCTGTGTGTGGAAACTGTCGAACAGTGTGCAGGAGATCAGTGTTTAAGCTGAAGCCATGTTTTGGGGCAGGGCCAAAATGGCTCCCTTGCCAGACTTCCAGTAAGCTGTTATGCTTTTAGTGAGTGCCTGAGGCTATGAATGGGCTATTTTATGGTCAGCGTGTAGTCAAGGTCAGAAACATGGTGATTCAGCATATGTAACCAAGGTCATAAACATTTGCTTGTAGGGATGCACCAGCTTCTTGGCTATGTGCCTTTTTTGTTTGGCCTTTATATTAAAAAGAAGTATGGAAATGACCCTGGGGCTATTGCCACCTCTGAATAAATGATGACCAATATTCCCACAGTGCCTTGCATCTTCCTCCAACTGATGGATTCCTACATCTTGCTTCTTGGGCCTGACCCCTGTCCTCAGTCTGACACTGCAGAAAGACCCAGTGCTGACTATGCATCAGGCACTTTGGGACATGCAAAGATTAGACTCAGCCCTTGTACTTAAGGAACTTCTAAGTCCTTAAAAGGAAAGTCTGTAAAAGGTACCCCTCTGTTAAATGGTGCAGGTAGCAGTGATCTTGGAAACTGGAGTGTTTAAATGTAGTATGAACTAAGCCTTCTGCTCATCAACTGAAAACAAAGGATGGCAGGTGCAACCTGTGATGTTGGGAAGAAGAGTGTACCTGGGCTTTGCTCATCCTTCACTCACATTCATTACTTCTTAGTGTTCTTTGTGTGGCTCCACTTCCCTTTTCCTTAGGTTTGGGCCCTCTTATCAAGTCTGTCTCTGAGTTTCATTATTTCCTCTCTTTCTGTAGAGTGAAGAGGTTGTTCTGGCCTTCCCTGTAGCATTTGTGCTAACTGCAGGTGCCCTCACCTGGATCAGCTCATATCTCCTCTTGCCTACAGATTATATAGAGATGAAAGTCATAGACCCATGAGATCCCAACCACAGCTCATTTCCTGTAGATTCTCCACCTCCTCTAGTGCTCAAGCTTCCAGAAATGCCAAGTAGGAGCTCCCCAGAACAGAAGAGTGTAAGTAATGCAAGCATCCATTGATGGAGGAATGGATAAACATGTTGTCCATACACACAATGGAATATAATTCACCATACATTATGTTAAGTGTAGTCACACAATCACAAAAGAACACTTAGTATGTGATTCTGTAGATGATGTATCTAGAGTCATCAAACCCACAGAAACAGAAAGCAGGGGACTGGATGAGGGACAGTGGGGTGGCATTATTTCATGGGTATAGAGTTTCTATTATAAAGATGAAGTCTAGCAACAGATGGTGGTGATAGTGAATGTACTTAGCATTTCTGAATTCTATGTGCACTTAAAAATGGTTAACATGGGCTGGGGTTATGGCTTAGTAATGCAGCCAATGTTTATAGCAGTTCAATTCACAATAGCTAAACTGTGGAAGCATCCTAGATGCTCTTCAATAGATAAATGGATAATGAAACTGTGATACACACACACACACACACACACACAATGGAATATTACTCAGAAATAAAATTATTTAAAAGAAAATAAAATTATAGCATTTGTAGGTAAATGGTTGGAGCCAGAGACTATTATACTAAGCAAAATAAACCAATTACAGAAAGAAAGAAAGAAAAGTAAAGAAAGGCTGAGTGTTCTCTCTGATAAGTGGATGCTGATACATAATTGGGGGGAATGGAAAACTTTGATGGCTCAGAGGGGAGGGAGGGTGGGGAAGGAGCATGGGGAGAGGAAAGACACTGGAATGAGATGGACATCATTAACCTAAATATATATATGCCTGCACATATGATGTGACGCTACATGGGGTACAACCAGAGAAACAAAAATTTTGCTGCAATTGTATAGAAGAAATCAAAATGCATTCTGCTGTCATATATACCTAATTAAAATAAATAAATTAATTAATTTAAAAAGATAATGTTTATGTTAACATCAACAGGTTTATACTACCTTCAAATGAATGAACATATTATTATCATAAATATATCATAAATGAACATATTATTGTTTAAATTTCTCAGTTTTAATTTCTATCAGGGCAAATATGAAAGAGGACACACACATAAACAGAGCTCTTTGGGGTCCTCAGTGTTGGGAAAAAGCTCTGGTGAACCTTGTATCAGGTACCTGTCCAGGGGGCTGCTCAGGAGGGGCAGCCACCTGTCTGAGGCCTGGCTAACAGCATATTGGGGACTCACATGGGCGATGGCTGCTCCTCCACCTGGGGGCTGAGGTGCTGCTGCTCCACAATCATGAATGCTTCATAATTGGTCAGCACAGAGGACCAAACTGAACACCTAGGATCCTCTACAGCACCCTCATAGCCACACCATCCATCAGATGACCCAAAGGCTTGGTTTGAGAGAGTCCTTGGCTTCTTCCACTTCATTTACTTAGTTACTCACTTCCATTGTATGTGACACCAGTGTTGGTGTGCAACAGTTTGGATAGGCTTAAAAGGTCACCCTTCAGCCTGGAGTCAGGAGAAGCCCTGGACTAGATGTCCTGTCACTCCATAGCAACTGGGTGTTCCCTGCAGCAAGACATTAGAAACAGAAACTCATTCTGGCTCATTAACAGCACTCAAGAGGGCTTCTTCTACACTCACACTGCTGTGATGTATGTCAACACTAGCCTTCTGAAGAGAGAAATTGGCAGTGATAGAGAAAACTTACACATCTTACACTTTGGCAAATACTTTTCCCATTAGTCTCAGGAATTGACTATATTTATTAAGTTCATCTTGGCTAACCTCTGGAAATAGGAAAGCTTCCTCCTAAATCTGATCAGGAGCTAGGGAAGTGGCTCAGTGATGAGTCTGCACATAGTATGCAGAAGGACTCTGGATCTTGTCCCAGCACCAATAAATAAATATTTTAAACATTTACAAAAAAAATAATGTTAAGCAACCTCCCATTATGGTAATATCAAAGGGGAAAGAAAAACATATAGTGGATTCCCCACCTGGCCACAGGACATGACCCACAGTAGTAAAAGCCAATCTCACAGGTGTTACAGACACAGGAAGTGGGTCAGAGTCCACCTTCCACCTCCATCTCCCTCCCACACAGGCAGGTCTAGTCCTGATTTCCATGAGCTTCCTCATCAATAAGAAGTCATGAGGCCAGGCCCATGAACAAAGAGCTTGTAGATGCCCTGGTCTAGTCCCTGTTTGCTGCTTACTAATTGTGTGCTCATTACCAAATCCCAGCATACCTTGGGGCTTCTATTTTCTCTCCTATACCATGCAGATCACCTTTACTTATGAGGATGGCAGAGCACAATGAGTGCAAAATCCTGCCACTATGGACAGCACACAGTGGTCACCAGGACCATCCCCTAGAGCTGCTGACCCCCCACTGACAGCAGCTCCCTGAGCTGAGTGTGTGAAGGACTGAGTCAAGCTAAAATGCCTGAATTTAACCTGGGTTGAGCCACTCCTGAGATTTGTGACTTGGGCAACTCACAAGTCCTCTCTTGGTGATAGTTTCTCTTCTATTACATATGATCCTGCTCATGCCAGAATCTAGCTGTGATACTCAGAACAGGTCAGAAGTCCCAGAACATGAAGGAGCTCTTTGTATCAGGCTGTATCTCTGCCCTTATCTGCACTATTGGCCTGGAGAGCTTAGCTACCACCTCTTGATTAATACCCGTGAGTGGCCAGCAAGCCTGACATCACTGCTGGACCCTGAAATAATCCCATCAAGACCTGAACTGCTCTGGCCTTCTGTACTTCAGTCACCATTTTGCAGTCAGCATGAAGATGTGGCTTTGAATCTATGGCTATTGAGCAGTGATGGCTCATGAGCTGGTGGGTCAGGAGCCCTGCCTGTCATCTTGGCATTTCTCACCAAGTGTCCCAGAAAGGTCTTCAGAGGTGTTTTCAAGCTTCCCCACACCCTTTATATCCCTAACCAGCAATTTCTCTCCTGTACAATGTGCCCTAATATGCTTTCTCCTCTCTAACCCCAGACTACATGATTCTGGCTCCATTTCTAGCCACAAATGACAGCTGATTTAAAGGTATTTCTGACTGCATCCATCACAACCCCACTGACAAGATGGTCTAGAAGAAAACCTGAAGGTGATTCCTATCACTGCAGCCTCAAAAAAATGGTGTCCCTTTGCACCCACTCCCACACAACTAGCCTTTAAAGCCTCCTAGGTTACCTGGGCCTTGGGCAATGGGCTGTGAGAGAGAAAGCTGACTCTGATACCAGTGGACAGAGGAAGTGAGAAAAGTGAGTGGCTGGCATCTAGATAGCCTTCAGCCTCCATCAAAAAGTAACCACTAACTCAGGGAGGGAGATTGTGGGCACAAGGGAGAAATGCCTGTCTGGCAACAACTGCTAAGATTCAACCCCATAAGTAACAGCCCAAAGGTGGTCTACTGGGTAGCCCCAAGGGCACTGCCTTCTGTAGGGTCAAGGTCAAGACAGACTGCTAGGAAGACTGAATCCCCTGCCTGGAGAACCTCCCTAATTCCAGGTACTGCAATTGAAGCCCTCAGTGAACTGGAGGGCAAAGACTTGGGATGGAAGTGTAATCCTCCACAATCAGGGCCTTGAGGTGCCTCAGAAAACAACCACAACCCAGGGAAGTGGAATGAAGTCAGGGCCTGGGATCAGGGCTCAAAGCCTTAGCTTCGGAGGTCATTCAAACTCTCTGCATCTCAGATACTAGAGGTGCTGCCAGCGAGTTGGTTAGAATAGGCTAAGAGGAAGGATATCCCACAAGGGATCCAGATGTCAAGTTCTGTCCCCCTTCAGACTTTTCTTCCCATCAGCAAACAGTCTGCAATGTGGTCAGCTGCCAGGCAGGAACTTAGGAACACTTGTGACTGCAGGGAGAGAGCTGCTTACTGCTAACTTCACTTAAAGTTGTTTCTTTGTTACAGAAACTACTCTTTAGAAAAGGCCTGGAATAACTAGCTTAAATCAGTCAAAGATATACAGCTCCTCTTCTAAGTGACCTAGGGTAAACTTGCTCACTCTAACTCATTATAATGCTAAATTCTCTGCCCTAAATGAAGTGCATCTGCCATTTGTTTGGTTTCCTATTGGGAATAGAAGCCAGAGGTATTTTACCACTGAGCTACATTTTGTGGTACAGATTTCTCAGAACAAAGGAAAGAGAACATGATGCCATCTGTATCATTGTGAGCCCTCCAGAAATCAGTTTTTGAACATTCTTACTACTTTGTAGTATATAAATAGAATGCCCAAACAGGAATGTATATTACCTTATATGAAGACAAAGTTAGTATGTAAAAGGAAACTAACCAGAATATATAAGGGATCACTCCCTACACTAAATGCTCAGCCTTTGGACAATAATCCACTAAGGCTGGATGCATACAAATAAACACTGCTTCCTATTGAATACCCTGGTGTCCCCTGTCTGTGTGAGAATCCCATGTAACATTTTATTTTGTTTGGTTTGAGACAGGATCTCACTTATCTTAGCCCTCTCATTGTTATATATTCATAATGACCAGCTTTCTTAGAAGTGTTTACATCCTATGAGAAGTGAAAAGAACATCTTAAAAAAGATTTTGAAGATTCTTAAATAAATAGTAGTGTACAAAAACTGACATGAAAACCAACTCAAGTTTTAAGCTCCTTCTTTTTAGAAACATTACATATGCTAAACTACATAAAAATAACTTATCCAAACTGATCTGTGCCCATGTTTGCAACTCCTCTAAAATTACTTTTAAAATAGCCTAACACAATAATTATGATTGTTATGCATTCCACTATTTTCATATATGTAAGAAATAAATTTTTTTAAAAAATAGCCTAACATAAGAGTTTTTCTATGGCAATAATTCACATGGCTTCTATAGAAAGTGTCAACAGGCCTGGAGATGTAGATCAGTGCTAGAGAGCTTGCCCAGCATGTACTAGGCCTTGAAATTTAGTCACCAACACTGCAATAAAAGGAAAGGGGGAAATAAGGAAGGAAGGAAAAAAGAATAGTGACAGGAGGAGAGGGAAAGGAATGAGACATTGAAACACAAGGGCAAATGGTACAAATATAAATATATGATGTACTAGCTCTTTAAAAATTTTACAGAGCTTTAGAATTTTAGTGACATCAAACTGGGTGATATTATGACTATATAGAAGTTCTGCCTTGGCCTGGCCTAAACCAAACCAATGGGTGGGTGACCTGGAGAGGACTTCTCTCTGTCTTGATTGGAGCAGGCTTGAACCTGTGCTGCTTCAAGATGCACAACATAGTGAAAATGCCAAGACTTCTCTGACAGGCAGTGTGCTAGGCCCCTGAGAGCCCATGACCAGGGCTCCTCATGCCCATGCCTACACCCCTCCTCCCTCACTGGTTCACAGTGGTCTGCTCTGTTGCCTGGTGCAGGTTTGTTCCTAACCTAAGGCCTGAGTGTCCACAGCCTGTTTCAGCTTGGCTGGGCATGGTGTGGTTCTGGAGGGAATAGCCAAAGTAGCCTTAATGTAATGAAGGGGCAACAGCTTCCCCTCAGCCAAACATGGAGGTGGTCCTGGAAGAAGTAAGCAGAGTTGTGGTCTGCCTTGTCTGAAGACATGGAAACACACCCTAGTCCTTATGGCTGTCCGTGGGAGTTGGTGATATGTACAGCTATTGTATTTTTTGTTGTTCTCTTGTTTTTGTGGAGAATTTATCAGTCTGTGAGAAGCAGGTGTTACTTGAGAAGAGAAGAAAAGCTTGCTCTAAAACTTTCTGGACTAATTGAAGAAAAATGTGAACTACTTGAAAAAGTTAGCCTTGTTCAAAAAGAGTATGAAGGCTTAGAGTCATCTTTAAAGGATGCCATTTTGGAGAAGGAGTCAGTAGAAACAGAAAATTTGGAGATAATATATGAAAACCTGGATAGGTCTGTATCTAAACTTGAGGATGAAATACTCTTTTTAGAAAAAGAGCGAAAAGAAGAAAAAACTAAACATTTTCAGCAGGATGAATTGATGGTGGATATATTAAAAAGAATTAAGTCTCTAGAAGATGAGTCAAAATCCCTCAAATTTCAAGCTAAAACAATCTTGAGAATGTTTAAAATGAATAAAGAAGCAGTTGCAGTAGCAATAAAAGAGGCTTTGAATGAAAATTCCCAACTTCAGGAAAGTCAGAAACAGCTTTTAAAAGAAGTTGAGGTATGGAAAGAAAAAGTGAATGGACTCAATAAACAGAAAATGACATTTGAACACTCTAAAGTACATGCAGAACAAGTTCTAAGAGATAAAGAAAATCACATTAAGTCTCTGAACACTTGCTGCAGATAAAAGATTGGGCTCCTGTGCTTGCAGAAGTCCTAACAAATGATGTGTAACTTGGAGTTGGAAATAGAGAGTGAATCTTAAATTTGTGCTCACTTAGAAGATCAGCCAAAAGAGGCTTTGAAGAAACTGATTTATGTTGCTAAGTTAAAGGCCTCTTTTAAAACCTTAGAAAGAGAAAGAAATCAAATTTTTGCTTTATTATCTGAAGTAATTGAAACAAAGGAAGACATTATAAAACATTAAAAATCTTAAGACAGAACAAGAATCTTTGCAAGCAGAAAATACACAGTTTGAAAATAAGAATCAGAGTCTTCAGCAGAAACTTAAAGTCATGATGGAACTATATCAAGAAAACGTAATGGAACTCCAAAGAAAATCAATAGGAGAGAAAAATGACCAGGTAGAGCAAGAGGAGAAACTTTCCAAAGTGTAAAAAAAAGATCAGCCATACAACTAAACTGCTGGAGACTTATAGAAAGTGAGCCAAAGATCTTGAAGAATAATTGGAGAGAACCATTCATTTTTATCAGGGGCATATTATGTACTATGAGAAAAAAGCACATGGTGATGAGTTGGCAGCTCAGAGCACTGAAAGATACCTCAATGATTTAAGAAAACAAAATACTCACAAAAATTAACTGAAATTGAGTTCAAATTTAAACTTGCAGAAAAAGATCCTTCTACACTTGATATTTCAAATACAGATTCTGGCAGACAGCATTCCCCAAATGGTCCCTCACCATTGGGTCAAACTTCATCTGAAATGAGATCTCCACTTTTGGAAAAGAATGGTCCACTCAGACTCTAAACTTTGGTGCCAGTGGGAGAAGGAAGAGCCTCAAGGGGCCCAGAGAATTCTCTGAACCATCTGACTAGCAATGGTAGTGGTAGGTTAACTGATCCTCAAAGAGCACCTTATGACACTGGGCCCCTGGCACCTCCATGTCAACAGGCCCATATAATGATCCCTCCACCAGGCCAACCATATTTTGATCCACAGCTTCCTCTACAAAGGCAAGATGGATGTTATTTTAATCGTGGTAAACCATCTGGATCAGAATTCAAAAGTTCCACTATGCTGCCTTTGGATAAAATGGATGTTTCTACTTCTTCAGATATTGAATCCAGTAGAAATGATACCAAATTTGATCTTGGTGATTCCAATGTGCCTGATTCACCTCTCCCTGTTGAAAATGAAGCAACTCTGGCTCTGGCTTTGCTTTCTCGCCTTTCCCTCCAATCAGAAGTCAATTGTTTCCAGTGGATCCAAGTAGTCAATTTATGAGAAAAGGACCTCTTTTTCCTCCACCTCCTCCAGGAAACATGTATGGAGCATCTCTAGAATATTTTCCACTGGGCCCACCACCCCCTCCATTCCCAATGGGACCACGGTGTTTTCCTCATTATCTACCCCCCAGATCTGGATTTCTTCCCCCGCCCCCCCCCCCCCCCCCCCCCCATCCTGAAAGTAGAAGTGAGTATCCTTTAGGATTGATTCCACCTTCAAATGAGCCTGCTACTGAACATCCAGAAGAACAGCAAGAAACCTGACAATATCTTTTATCTGCCTTCAAAAGTATTTTATCTCTCATTTTTAGTTTAAGTAACTGCTTTTATTTAAGTGATTATACTTTTGCTCCAATTGAAGCTTAATGGAAATATAATTTTTAGGATAGTATTTTGAAAATAAAGATGGTTTAAATATAAATATTATAAGTAAATTATTTCCATTTTATCTTATTATAGAGAGTACAACATTTAATTTGATTAATGCACTATTATATGAGAAACAAACGGAGTTTTATATATGTAATCTTGCAGTTGGGGATATTTTAGACTTCAAATAAAGGCTGTCTTTTTATACAAAGAAACATATTTACTGTGATTGTAACAAATGTGAAAGTAACTTTATGCATAATGAAAGATTTTAATTGATTTAAAGTCTTGTTTGGCAATAATAATAAAAATCAGCTACTTTTTCCATAAAAAAAGAATAACTAGAGCATGTTAAGAGTAAATCAGAAAAAAGCAACTATACATGTCATGGAAATTAGGAGATTTCAAATACAAACAAAGAAAAAATTCAGTTCTTAGAAAACTTGTAGAAATTGGAAACCATAATTTAAGTTCACTCTGTCCCTGATTTCCCTTACATATACAGTCTTATATTTTATACCCATTTTTCTGTGGTTCACTGATATGTGGAGTGTCCCAGTCTTTGTTTTGTTTTCAGGGAGACATTTGTAAAATAGAAATGGATTATTAGGACACTAAAATGAAGAACAAAGACATAACTTCAAATTTTGTTGTTAGATTTGATAGCTATAAAATGACTCTGCTAAACTACTATAAGTGTTTGAAGTTTTTAATCTCAATTTCTAGATTATTGCAAGTAAATAACAATTTGCAAAACTGCACCAGTCCAGAGATGACAATTCACACAATGTTTCCCTGATAGAAACCAAGAAAGAACATTTATTAAAAATACCCTAATTAAGAATTAGTGGTTAAAGCTTTTTTCAAGTTTTTTGTAAAGAGTATACATTTAACTCTAAAACAAATGCAGTAATATAACTTTATTCTTAAATATAAGCAGCAGCTTTATCAAAATTGATGGCCAGTGAAGACATTCAATGATACTTGAGCCCACAATTAATTTAAATGAGAAAAATGTTGGGCCTTGAAAAAGAAACTCTAAAAGTTCAATAAATCTAATCTGTTTTCCCTTGAGAGTAACACTGGTTGTTAAATCAATCATATGAATAATTTTTACTTTCCAGCATAAAACATTCCTCACTCTAAATGAGTGAATGGCAGTCTACATCCATGGTGTGTATAAAATGGACTGATGATCCCCCACTGATGTTGATCCAGAACTACTTCTGCCCTAACCGCTACAGAAAAATAGTTGCTAGTATATTTCTTGTTTTACAGCAAGAAACTGGAAATAAGGTAATTTCAGATTAAAAACAGAACTTAAATGCCTAAATACCATGATACAGTCCTATAAAAAGTTATAGCTTCAGAAGAAAAACCTGAAAGGCACTTCTAAATATGACACCATTTATTGAATCAGGTTCCAACATTGTTTACAGCTCTAAAAAATGACAGTTAAGTAAAATAATATTAAAAATTGGCAATTTATAGAAAAATAAGTAAATATTAAATCCAAAAATGAAGTCATATATACAGTACATATTTATATGCACTTTACCTAAATAATTCAGCTGTTATTGTAAAAATCAAAATTCCCACAACTAAAGAAGAATCCTCCTGATATTTGAGCTGTTATAATTAAAGGAATAGCCTTTTTTTACATATAGAATGAGTGAATTAAACTGATAGGTATATGATTAGGTGTTTTATTTATAAACATTTTTTAGTTGTTGATTGGCCTTTATTTATTTATATGTAGTACAGAGAATGAAATCCAGTACCTCGCACACTCTGCCACTGAGCCACAACCCCAGCCATGATTATGTTTTAATAACTACTAACAATAATCTAAAAAGGAAATGAGTATATCTTCATTATCAAAGAAATAAAAGCCCCAAATAGATAACCAACAACAACTAGACCTGAATTATTTTTTAATGTTCTATTCATTAAATGGATTCTTTGATTCTATGTTGGTTTTACCAAAGGCCTGAAATATGTCCTAGCACTTGGCCAGCATCTACTCTTGTACAATAGAGGAAATGGGTATGGTAGAATTTTGCTGAAATGAATTAAATTCATATATTCAGGGATATCAATATTCCTTAAATATGCTATGGACCTGAGAGTATCAATATTGAGTAAAAGGATTGTGTTTAAAAAAATTTGAGGTCTGGGGTTGTGACTCAGTGATAGAGCACTCACCTAGAATGTGCAAGGTCCTGGGTTCTATCCTCAGCACTGCATATAGATAAATAAAGGTATTGTGTCTATCTACAACAATAT